GGTAAATTGGAAACTATGGATGACTATGGCACCTGCCGAAAAAATATAATTATTACACGTAAAAATGGCACGCGGGCCCCGGGAATAGTTACTAGATATAGTAACAGAGGGACAACGAGAATGTGAGTAGCTGAAGGGTTAAGAAACTACCACCGCTTTCTACTCAGATCATCTGCTCCAGCCGAACCCTCCTGCAACCCTGGCCCACTCGCGACTTACGAATAGTTTCTTAACCTCCAAACAGGATCACTGCTCTCGCGACTCCACTCTGGACGGCCAATGAAGGCAAGCCAGAGGTGGGAAACCTGTTCCTTGTCATCGTCCACTCCAGCTAGCCATTTAAGGCAAGCCGGAGAATAAGAAACGTTGACTTTTCCCTGGAACACTCGGGATTATGGTAGCCCGCGAGGTCGCTAATGCCCGACACCTAGACTCAATGTGCTCTGCAGGCTGATTATAATATTTATTAGCTTTCGGTACTCAGTAGGAAATCAGAAACTAAAATTGTATAACAGAACTATGTATTTTTGACTGTCTCGTTGGCCGAGTGGTCTCAAGTCTTGGGTTCGATTCCCGGGTCGAGCAAAGTATTACTGGGTTTTTTAAGAAAAATTCTCAGTAGTAGTACGGAGTCTGAAATTGTGCCCGGTATATGGCAATTGGTTAGCCCCTTATAACATGGGACTCATAACATAAATAGTGAAAAGTAGGTCTTATATTGTAGCATTCAGTACCGTAATATGCACCTCTGCTTACCCCTTCGGTGATAAAACGCGTGATGTGTATTTCGTAATGTGTGTATTTCAGTTCTATCATGTGTGTTCCTCTTCCTTCTCTTTTTTATCTTCAAGAGTTTTCATAGTTGGATTTCTAGTTTCGAAAGAGTCTAGAGTCCCCGTTTAGTCCAAAACTCAGTCGAAGCTATTCATGTTCATTCGATTTGAATTAGTCTTCGATACAGGTTTTAAAAGGAACTCCTAAAATTGTTAGATCATAAAGACAACTAAACGTGGTCACACTTCTCTACGCATGAACATTATTGTAATTAAAAAAACTGCGTTTAAAAAACCGACTTCAAAAAACCAAAAACTAATAAGAAAAAATAACCATCATTAGTACTGATAGGTTACCCACCCACTGAGGTTAGAAGTCGGCGCCATGAGTTCTATACAAAATTATTCATTATAACCTTAATAGATACCTTATTTACAATTTAATGGCCATTAAGTTAAATCATTATGATATAAGCTTATGGCACCGACTTCTAACCTGGTACTAATGATTTTTTTTTTCTTTTTAGTTTTGATTTTTTGTTTGTTATTAGTTTTTTTGGTTTTTTGAAGTCGTTTTTTTAAACACAGTTTTTATTTTATAATTATAATTTTCAGTGTAAAGCTACATAGATCCGTTTTGTCACTTATAATCTGCATAGGTGCAAAGTCCTCATCAATACAAATTAATCAAGCCCAAACACAAGGTGGTTAATATAAATCGCTGATGAGTTCTCTCGACTGTTTGTCGGCTACAAAATCAGGTCGATTCCAGACCCTTATCAAATTGTAGTGCTTAAAAATCCTAATTGAAAAACATAATAGACGCATTACTCGCCCCTAGAATTTTCGAAAGTTCCCCTCGGTTTCTCTGGTTTCTCGGTTTCTCTCTCTCTCTCTCTCATCAGATCCTGACCTCATGGAAATGGGACCATCTCGGGAGTATACCCTTTCAAACAAAACAAGAATTTTGGAAATCGGCTCACAAATGACTCCGCCATTTGTGAGCCGATTTCCGAACACACAAAAAACACAATCAGCCGAACATAGTACCTTCTCCCTTTTTTGAAGTCTGTAAAAACGGAATGATTAAATAATACATAGTTTGAAAACAGAAGGGGCGGTATCAAAATCTCTTTACCTTAATTAATACATTATTGCGAACGTAGACTACGTAACGTAATACAGTTAACACGTATCGTGAAAATTTTAAACTTGTTACCATTTTCAATGTGAAAAGCACCGTATTACCAGCACTATCACTCGCGTAATACAATTATCTCTGGTTGGTTATAATTTCCAGGTATATGAATGCATTCAGTGGAAAATTAAAAAGCAAGCTGTTCCGAAACACCGGGCCGCGTATGCCCAGCCTCGTAAATTCTTTTACACGTTCCGCGACAATCACGAAAGATTGTTCAATGAAATAAGTTTTGCGACTATCCGTATCTTTTTACTTACAAAACTGGTTTGTTATTTCTCTATTTAACGTGTTCATAAAATAGAAATCGAATTCTATTTCGGTATCGAAAAATACTTGAAACATTCTTTTACTATACTTCAAAAATGACTTAGAAATTCTTCGAAAACATTTAAATGTGGCTTATACGGTGTTTAGGCTTTTTCGCATCGACGGTTTCGATGTTTGCTCTCGACGTTCACTGCGCCCCGACGTCGTTTGGTATAAATAAGGTACTATTTGGGCTCTAACAAAGTTATTTAGTTAGGACAGAACTATAACTAGGGTCTTAGATTGAACAAACCAATTTATCAGCACTGGGATACTATAGTAAACACATTTTACCTTAAATAATTCTAAATATACATTCTAGTATACGTTAAAAGCATTGTTATATAGTAAACGTGACTGTAAATCCGAGATAAAGTCCTAATTCTTAAATCCTAAGTCCTGGCGACGTTGATAAGATTAATCTTAACTAAGTACTGTTCTACTTTATTTGTAGCAACCATTTTGTAGAACGAACGAAAAGCGTATAAACTATTGTTGTGAAGGAAACACAGATACTTACAGTTATTATATTAGCATTGAGGTGTATGGCCTCCTACTGTCTAAGCAGACAAAGCCAAAATACTGCCTATTCATTATTACCTAGAATATAATTATTATAGCAAGCCTACTCACACTAAGTACTTGAGTAACATGATCCGTAGACACGGCTAGGCATGGCGACACTAATTAATCAATTGCTAATCCTATTTACACACCATTATGTTCTAAGTACACAGAAAGTCAAGCAAAGGAGAAGGCCTATACATATTTTATCAGACAATTAACGTTGCAAACGTTTCAATGTATGTAGGTATGTAGCTACAACGGCTTTGATTCCTCGTTCATTAGTAATGGTGTGTCATAATTTGAATGTAAATGTCAAACATTATCAATAGAGATATATGTCTTATGTATTCATTACGAATAGCGGCAATTAATATCTAATTGAAATAATTAGGATTATGTCATACATATGTACAATGGCGTAACCAATTTTGTTAAGCGTTTTATTAGCTACATACTTTCATTGACTTGCGTAACACGACTGAGCCGACTGAGCAAAAGGTAAAAGTTTAGTATGTTATTGAGTTGTACATCCGTTGTATTTTTTTTTTAGGAATAATAGGATAACTGTGGATCGTAAAGGTGCGTAACTGTGCATCTTTACCTTCGGTAGGTAGGTACCAAAGGTAAAAGTTTAGTACGTACATTGTATAGAAAAATATAAAGTAAGTATTACTGCAAACCCACGCTCTTCGTAGCATTGTTGAATAGTTCGATTCAGAAATTTACTTTATATTTTTAACGAAATTTGATATTTAATGTGCATCATCATTATTTTGATGGATCACGGATTCGTATATGTGTGTTTATTTCAAAATTGGATTTATTAATATGAGAAACATAAGACAGGTACAACTACGAGTCATTCATATTTATTGTGTTATTAAATTCTACATTTTGGGAATTCTTGGAAGTACTCAGACGTATGTATGTGAGTAGTTTTTCCCAATAAGCTCGTCCACTCTCTCGAACCCTTCTAAGAAGGCAACATTAATGTTTGCTACTAAAACCAATATATTCCAGAAACCAGAAACATATATGACAAACACTTTTTTGTCATGACTTTGAAGTATATCTACCTATATTTCTAGCCAACTATCTTAAGTACGAGTTTAAATAAAAACATAATTTCTACGAAGATTAGATTTGTTTCGCAGTTCACCGAAAATTCAACATAATCATTTATAGAGGTATAATAATAATAATCAAAACGCTTACAAATTGATACAAATGTGTAAAAGCCAAAGAATCAATCAATTTGTATTCGACGACGTCAAGTGCATTAAGTAATCGATTCAATAGACTGGAATAAAATGAAAGTCAACATTCGCCGTTATTTCCTAGAAATGTAAACAAGAACTTTGGTAGGTGTATTGTGCTAAGTCTACTTTACGAAACAACTTTAGTTACACTTTTCAGCCTTTAAACGTGGAACAATAAACAAGTTTCATATATTCGGAATTAGAAGGGGCATATTACAACTCGTAAAAAAGCACAATAACTATGCAGTAATGAGGTTTTAACATAAGTAGCGTAAATATTTATTTTGTAAAGTACAGAACTTAATCAAAGAGCTAGCAATAATAACAGTCTGAGGACTACTTTTGTATAAGCTTTACAATTTATTTAGATTTTGAACATTGTTTGGAAAGTAGCTGAATTCTGGTTCGTTAGTTGAAGCAGGTGAAATTAAGTACCTATTGAACTTCACTAGACTAAATAAAATGATTAACGTTACACAAACAACATTTACAAAATATTTACTTTATATACTTTAACCATGTTTTCTGATGAAAGAAGACTCCATAAGTTAGTGTTAGTTAGTTACCCAAACATAATGGGTTTTCGAATGATATATATATATATATATATACATATATATGTATATGATATAGAGGGGTCACTCAATAGTCGCTCAACAACTTTTAGTGAAGTTACTAAGTAAAAATTCTCAAAAGTTATTTAGACAACGACGAGGAACTGTTGTGTGTAACTTGTCTATTACTAATTACAGTAGTGCGTCGAAAACTTTCGCTATACTCCATCGAAAATTCAGATCACGAGTCGGAAACAATCAAGATGTTCACGGGATACCAATCGGATTAGTACTGAGTTTTAGTTGGACAGATACATCCGTGGAGTGACTTATCTCTGCATTAATTCTGTTTTCGATGTGGGTCAGTAACTTCGTCATACGTTACCTACGTAACAATACACAGATATCAAGCGTATTCTAATAGAACTGTCTAAATAATCAGGGTATATCATTAATGAATAGTTAATGACAGTAAACAAAAATTGCTTGTTAAACGTACCTATAATCTTGTCAATGATGTGAATGCAATAGGGTTGTCAAAAATGTGCCTAATAAACTTCTATATTAATACAAATGCCTATAGGCAACAAAACTAGTCTAATCCTATTGACTGAATTGAATTTAAAGGCGTATACATATCTGCAGACAATGACCTGACTACCATCTTACATCACATGCCCTGTGACCTAAACACGAAACTACGTCAATAAACGCAGTCCGCCTTCCTGAATCACATCCTGGGTCACTCTATATTATATTTATATACCTAAGCAAACCTTCTTCTTCAATATACACCAGTGTTTATTTATCAGATTTGAACGTTGTTCAATGCATTTGATAGTATGTTGGACTATTTTGAAATGATATTTATTAAAACAAAAAGAAAATTCATATTTATTAAAATGTATCTATTAATTGTACGATTAATAGATACATTTTGTCTGGTTTCTTATAAATATTTTCATCCAAAGGTTGTCTGGAAGAATCACCATTGTGTGATAAGACCACCCATAGTACGCATATTTACTTGAATTGTTAGTTTTAACGTACTTAAATGTGTACAATAAAGCATATATAAATAAAAAAAAGATTAAAACAAAGGTATTGGTTCACAAGGTATCAATCACCTGGCATTCTTTAGCTAAAAGGAACTCTTTCAAACTAACTATTTTTCGTAAACAGTCATATAACTTCCCGACATTTAACCTCATAAAAGAAATTCAAACTTTATCGCATGCTAAACGAATTTATCTTACCTTATAGTACGGTTCCTCGTAGCGAGTGCCCTTAAGAAAGTCATAGAATATGCAAAGAGGCAGGACCATTATGGCCGGCTCTTTGCACAGAGTGGCGGCTGCGGCGAACGTGAGTGTCCCCGCCAGCGTCAGCCACTGCAACAGTTCACCTGAGTCCTCACTGACACCACCACTGAACTGACACTTAAGTCGCACTGCGCCGTTAACCTCACAAGCATTCAACATCTTCATAGGCCCCGCTTTACTCGCCTTTAACAGCTTACGAACATTCATCATTATGTGCTGTACCAAACTATGGCAACTCAGTCTAAACGGCGGATCGTTAGACGTGATTTGTCGTCGCATCAGATTGTCTTTTACTAGCTGCCGACATTGTTTCTTGTGTCGTTGCTCACGCAGTCGTATGTGCTCGCTGTACAGAAGGAAACTCAATAGAAACAAATTGCACGCTGCCAGATCTGCTCGACCCACTACTCCGGCTACTGCCTCAGTGTGTATTGGATGTGCAGCAAATACGATGCCAGTGACGGCAGTTCCCACTCTCATACAGGATGCTGGCAAGAGGCGACGTGCAGTCACGACAACTAGCGCTGTCGCTGTGCAGTGGAATATTACGTTGAGGAAGTGATAACTCCACGGTTTGAATCCACTGAAAGCATAATTGAGTCGATATGTAGCGACGCACAGCGGCCTGTACGAGCCGTGAGAACCAGGGTCCGTGAGCGGTGTTCCCCAGAAATCGTTTTCAAATAACGCGTTAATAGGTGTGTGCCCGATGACGTCCGGATTGGAGAGAATCGCCCGCCTGCGAAATAAAAAAACACGTTAATTTTTTTTTTCTTGTTGAGATTAACAATATTAAGATTAAGAATAAAGATTTATTCACTTTATAAAATGATGATTTATAATTGTGTTGTTACATAACATTCTCATTTTAATAACAGCACGTATGGTAAATGTAATATTTTCATTGATAGTTGTAATGGCGGAATATAACTAGACCACAGGACATCAATAATTGTGAAATTATTTTGCATACTTTTAAAACGGGTTACTGTAGTTGTCATAATACACAGGTTGGAAATATTACTATCGGCACAAAATAAAACAATGTATATTATTATTATGATAAATGCTTCATTTGAATATAATTGTAAATAAACAATGATAACAAATAAAAACAAGCAAATATTCTAACCTTAGTTTTAATAAATTCGTTTCAAGTGCAACGAATTGCTATAGAGCAATTTGTAGACTGTCAAGGAACCAAGTAATAAGTAAGTAGGTATCTTGACGACCAGTGCCTCCGTATCGTATATTTTTCATCAGCTTTGATTAAAAAACTTTGCTAAAGCAACTTTTCCCAGCGCAGCTACCTTTTAATGAAATATAAAAGATCAATACCGAACATATTTTTTACATCCTGCGCCAATCTGAGAACATTATTGCCGGTGTTATAACGGAGGTTTTCCAAAGTACGCGTTCTCTGTTATTATTCTTTTTTATCAGATTAATTTCAATTAATTTTTAAAGTAGTAGTAGTACAAAAAATTATAATGATATGCATTTTAATTTTTCATTTAATTCATTTTTCATTATATTTATTTTTTTGTAGGGAGGCCATTGCCCTGCAGTCGGACGACCATGTTAAAAATAAAATAAATAAATAATAATTATTTTAACAAGATTATGTCACCATCAAAAGCCGTACGTATATAAGGTATCTATAAATATCAATGCTGCAACAGGTAACTTAACAACATGCCACGTTCAATATTCAACGATGGTGTTTGAAAATGTAATCTTTATTGCCTCATTATAAAACCTTTTAGAAAAGATAACATGTTTACATTAAAACTCGTAATTCAACATCCCCAATCTGTAAGTGCCTGCTATTAATTTGTACAAAGTAGACGCAATAAGGGATTCCAACTTTTATTTACGCTACACATCAAAATTTAATACCGAAGAACAAATTCAAACAGCCGTCCCTAACTGCTTAATTTAAATAAAATATTACCATCTTACCTGGTCGGGCACTCGCTCATCGGCGCCGAATCCGTTCGATGTTTTCCCGAACGATTGGCCCTGTGCCCTCGACCGTTCCCTCTGTAGGGTGCCTCAATACCCACTTTATAATGGACATGTTTTAACGTACCGATTTCTCCTCTCAAATTGATTTTGTCAACCGTGTTTTGATGTTTTCCGGTTGATGTGTGAAGCACCCGAGTGAAACCGGATAAGTGTCGGAACGTACTGACCTGTGCTATCAGTCAAAAGCTTGCCAGTAATTTGGTTTGTTTTAATAATATTTATTTTTTTAACTTGATGCAAAGGAAATTATTAACCAAGTGTACGTCGGAAACCCTATCGGATGGTATTGGCAAGCGGGGATCTTACCCGGGCACATTTTCACAGTAGAGGAAATTAAAAAGTCAGTGAGCGCGTTTATGCCAGGGCCTAAACCAACCACGTGACTTCGTTGCTTTTACTTTTTTAATCCGATGTTATAAATACGTTTTGAATTTAAACATGATCAATTTTTTTAAGTCATTTGAAAGTCTTTCTTTTTCTGTCATAAAATTCTAATGCAGAACAGTCAAGTAGGGGCAATTCAAAAAGAAATAACTCATGTAAGGACAGCGGCTACCTGCACATACACAAAGCACTCATCCCTTTATCTATTGATCCCTCATGCATTTTATTCGTTCGTTCTAGATTTGGTAGGGAAAGCCGGTGAAATAGCCGATTGAATAATATATTTTTATGGGACCAAAACCGTGCTTACTATGCGAAGAAGGAAAAATCATCTCTAACAGTCGCCCATTGTATTGCAAATTGTGAGTAAGACGCCTTTTCCTTCACTTATTTACATAAAAAGTTCTCCGAGTATTTTGTTCCTAAATGACTTTCGTTTTGCACTTCCTCATTTCTGTTCTTAGAAATATATTTCTGTCAAATGTGGGATATGCGCGTCTACAAACTAACGTGGATGAAAATACTTAAAATAAAATATGTCGTAAGAAAAACAGAAATTCAAAGGAAGTTTACGATTAGAACTGTTTGTTAGGGAGTTCTGCTAAACCAGGTATGATCTGGTTTTGGATCGTAGGAATATAAACCCTTCATATTATTTAATTCCGAAAAGTACAGTGTATGTACTGTTTATGCAATTAAAATAAACATGGGTACATACTACCTCTAGATACTGAATTGATTCTGACGATATTAGTTACCGTAGAATATCTCTTGGTAGAGACTAATTTAAAAGCCCAAATTCTGCCAGAAGTCATTATTCTACGTGGACGTAGTCACTGGCAACAGTTAGTATAAAATAAATCACATTAAGTATTTCCTGCTATATTACTAAATATTTTAAACCTTATCAAAAAAGGTATCGAGAGCAAAAGGTTATCCAAGGAAATTCTCAGCTGAAACTACATATTCCTCGCATTTTGTGCAAGTCACACAAAGGACGTGGGTCCATAGTTATTCTCAACATGTTACGACGTGGTGAGCAGCCAACATTCCGATATTTTCTTACAAGCTTACGTTTTTACGTTCGACGCCGACACCGGTACCACGCCTCATAATAAAAATGAAAATAGAAATATTGAATACCTTAGTTGGCTCCGGTTATGGGCGTTTTCACTTTATGACGCCAGCGATTCCGTGATCGGTACTGCCGCGTTTTCACATCAACACGAAAATGATGCCTACATAATAATATATAGGTACTAAAGTATTGTATATAATGTTTACCTAAAAAGGTTTTTCCTCAATTACTCGTAAACTATTTTTCTACAAAATATTATTGACTTATTTTCTATCAAAAACATCCGACGTTGTTAATAATCCACAGTTTCTTCATTTATCAAAGTCAAGACAATAATGTCTATAATCACAACATTTAATTATCTTAACCGTTCCTTTTGTCAAAGAAAATCTTATTCCAATATCTAAGCTGAACATTTTACGTCTTTTCAATATCACATATAAGATGAGTGTATCAATCTATGTACACGCATCAAATAAGGCTGAAATAGCAAAATACGTAATCCCTTACATTTTATATCAAAGCCTATCCTGTAAAAATATTGGCCTATATTGGTTTTCATAACCATATCGATAAAAAATACTCGCGTCCCTAGTAGAATCGAAACTAAGATTGAGATAAAGTTGGGGATAGTAAGGAACTTTTTGTTGGGAGAGTTGCGGGCAGCTGTGCACAGTCGTCACGTAAGCCCTCAATTACGAAACACTGGAGCGGTTTTCGACGAGCTCTGATCCAGAGCAAAGTTTATCGATTCTATCACGATTATCGGTTTGGAACGTTTCCACAGAGAAAATTAGCGGTGTCCTCGAAATACTTATGCTTTTCCAACTTTTGTATTATTGTGTTTATGTATACTGCACTTGACACATAACAAAGTACTTAAGTGCTTTTCGACAGGTGCCTTCTACATCCTCGATACTGTTATTAAGTATCTAAGGAATCATTTGGTTTCTAAAAGTAAGAAAGTAACCTATTAAGGAAAAGAATTTTGCTTACTTAAAGTAAATTTTTCACTGATGATAAAGTTTTGACCGCACTAATATTGTTTTAGGCCACTTGGTTCAAAGAAGTATAAAGTATAAATCAAACACAATAATGTGGCTGCCCTTATACCCTCAGGGACAATGGGATCAAAGGAGAATCTAAATTATTCAACATGGCCAGGGCTGGGCGTTCGCCAAATAGCGAGTTACCTTTTTACAGCTCCTTCGATCCTCCAGGGAGCCTTATTTAGGTGTTAATTGGTGGCATTCCTCAAGAGGATTGGTAGTTCTTTTTATGTAAAAAGTTGAATGATACGATACGAATTTTATATAAAAGTTTTATGTATTGTTTCAGAAATATTTCCGTCGAAGCTTTTTCTGAAAAAAGACTTTCTTAAAACCATTTCTATTTCTATGAAAAGCTTTAGCGACGTCTTACTCTAATTTTTTTTAACTCCGTAAGTACACCAGAAAAGAAATTTGTATTTTATGAGTTTTAACTTGTATGTATAAATTGGTGTGAGATAATAAAATTGTAAGTCTCGGATTTGTTACTCATAACATAATTTCATCACGCCTTTTATCCTCGAAGGGGTAGGCAGAGGTGCACATTATGCCACTTTACTATGTAACACCCACTTTTCACTATTTATGTTATGAGTCCCATGTAATAGGGAGTGAGCCTATTGTATTTGTTACTCAGTTAAGGTTATTCAAAAAATACGGCTACTTATGGACGTGCTCTATCGTAGGCCGCATCATCTCTTACCAGCTGACGTGATATATATGAAAAATAATAATATTTATTTTAATCCAATAATGTTTTACAGCTTCAAAGACCATAACGTCGAAAATGAAGTAACCAACATACTTAAAAAATCCTTGGGAAACATGTTTCAATAAAATTATTTGACATTAAAATCATAAAGAACGATTTCCCTTTTCATTTCAATCAAAGGTCATGTACTAACTCTACTAAACGGTGAACAAAATCAATAATTGACGAAATTTATCGATAATATTTATAAAGCTATGACTCTAAGAAACGTAAACATACGTAGGCAGATTTTACGCACCTTAAAGGTTTCTGCTTTACATTTATGAAAGAACCTTTTAACCAAAATCAGAACTGAAATAAAATAAATTAAATTAAAATATTTTCGTCACGACTACCGTTGACTTTTTAGACCAGACTGTTCTCAATGACCGATAAAAATAAAAAATTGAATGGAAAAGCTTCGCATCTACATTATTGTGAATATTGAATAACAACTCGGCTATAATTGTTGAGAAATTGTAAATGAGAACGGACAAGGGTTTCTAAGCTTACTGAATTCCGAGTACTAAGGTTGCCAATAGGCAGAGTTAGTAGTAAAATAACCTTCGTCCAATGAGCGGTGAATTCATTTCATTAATTTTCTGCCCATTATTCACATAAATTCAAATTGTTTTACATAACATCACGCCTTTTATCCCCGAAGAAGTAGACAGAGGTGCACATTACGGCACTCAATGCCACTGTAATGTAACACCCACTTTGCACAATTTATGTTATGAGTTCCATGTATGTAATAGGAAGTGAGCCTATTGCACATACTAAGCACTATTCCAGAAACCGTGCTTCTACTGAGATTTTTTTAAATACTAAAAATACTAGTACTACTGGGAGTACATTACCCGACCCGGGAGTCGAACCCGAGACGCCTTGACCGGCAGTCGCACTTGTTGCTTTTTGATTTTTTCTCTTTACTCATCTAAATTGCTGATTAGATTTTTTTTATTTGATGGGCCGACATTTGACCACTATCTCGCCTGATGATAAGCGATGATGTGGTCTACGATGAAGCACGTCGTCCCATACGCAACCTATTCATTCGAGCCTTGAAGACACCCAGGTACCCTTCAGAAAATAGAAACTCTGGCAAAGAATTCCACTCCTTAGCAGTATGCACAAGGAATCTTGACGAAGGCATTAAACTATTCCTTTAACATTTGTTATTATTATTTTATGTGATATTTATCGGACTACTTTTACCAGCATGATAATAATTATAGGCGCACCTAGCTAAAGAGCCAAAACTGAGAAAAACATTTCAATTATATTTGTAAGTATTTTTGCTTGTAAGTTTTAATTTGAGACAAACATTTTTACAATTTGTACAGATGGGCTATCAACTCATTTAAATTTAACGTTCCACTTACTTCTTATACCTAGGTACTTACAAAAAGTCTAATTTTACAGACTCAAATCATTAACTCTATCACTAGAACACAAACATAAATTATTTTGGCACTGTTACCAACGAATACTAAAAATGTTGATCCACGATTTTGTTATATTAAAACCATGCAAAAATCCCCAATAAAACAAAAGTTACCATTGGCTTACCTGTCATCATAAACGAATCCTGCATCCAAGGTGTTGTAGTAGAGCAGAAAGCCTAGCAGCGAGCTAGCTGCCGTCACCACGAGCTCCATCCTCGCTAAGATATCTACATCGGGGTCCCCCCACCCCTCTGCAACAAACATGCACTCATATTAGTTATACGTTTTCAAACCAAAGCCCCGCCCTCTTTGGCAATGCACGACTAATAGGTATTTAACTGGGTACAATAGAAGAACTTGTAGCCTGTAACGCATTCTATTCTCCAGCCTATCACATTCAACATATAATTGGCAAATAACCTAAAATGCGTCTGGTGCTTAAGTGGCTTAAGAACCGCACGCATTTTAGTGATTTTTATAATCACACAAAGCATAATTAAAAATGCTTATAATTAAGAACACAAAATTCATCCTTATAAATAAATGCAAATATGTTTATAATTAGTGTTTATCATGCCACTCTACAGCACTCATATGTATAATATAATTAGGTACGTAAACAGAGAAATGAACTTTAAAACTTATTCCACACCTATCACTCGGCCCGGTTTATTTCTACCCGAAACAGTTCCAACATTACAGAGCTGCATTCAAACGTTTATTTAAAACTTATTTGATTCCTAACCTGAATTAAAACTCAACACATTAAACATGTTCTCTATTTAGCGGGAAACGTATTCTCGTCACGTCATCGCATTAACTTACCTACGCTAACTATATGCTGAACAGACTTTTTAATTATTAAATGGATATTTAAAACGTTTGGATTTCCACTTACATTTGCGCGAAATATTATTTCAATTAAGCTGAATACACGGTGTGAATAACGAATACGTATTTGATACAAACAAACATGACAAAAATATGCTGTCTGTATAGGAATATGGGAGTAACACGGACTTGTGCGAGTATAATAAATTCACGAGGTTTGCTTCCCTATTGTATTTTGTGCGATATTTAGGTATAACGCAACCAAATTAAAAAGTCATATTTTTATTGACTACATTATTATGAGTAACAATGTATTTTTGTTGGTTTTCCCAGTACGAAATAAAATTTAATGCTACTTAAATTATTCACAATGAACGTACGTCTACGACCCCGGGCTTGCCTTCAATATTTTTGAAAGTATCGAAGACTTTATGATTGGTAAATTGATTGTGAAGATTAATCTTATGTCTATGTTATTTTCTAATACCGAACCGAATTTTGTTTTATTCTTAGCTTATATACATTGGAGTCATACATAAATTATTTTAAGTGCCGTAAATTCATATTATAGTTATTGCTTTATAATGTTTTAAGACTCTTTTCATAACCGCCCCGCACCTGGAAATATTTACGTCATTTCGTACTTAATTCGACATTAATAAAAGCTCAAACCAAATCACGATTATCAAAATTCAGTTTTGATTTGTAATTAACTAGTTTGAGTACCAAAATGTTTTTTTTAATCATTCGTGAAAGTCCTTTCTAAGAGACCTATTAAATCGTGGAGCCAATCAATGTTATGGATCAGGGTTTTCCTGTTCAGAATTTATATCCATTCATTATAACATTTTAAATAATAATTTGCTTCGAAATTACAGAACACCCAAACTGTATAATTTAGTTTTAAACAATCCTATTACGTCTATCGTATTAATTGGATTGTGTGTCTATTTCATGTCCCAATTAAGGTTTAGTAAAATAAAATATCAGTCCGAATACGAACACTTCGTATCTAATCCGACACAATTTAGTTTGGAAATTTGTGCACGGCGCGATCGTTGTCATGGAACACAGTTCATGTCACCACGGCTGTTGGCCGGTCCGGATGTTGCCATGCCGGCGACGCCCGGCAAAAGTTACTATTTAGTTTCACCAGATGTGTATTCTAACTAATTACTTTTTCATTTCCAAACTCGAAATAGATAAATGTAGCTGGAACTCAAATGTACCACTTTGCAGGATGATATTCTATATTTAACTTTATATTCAGATTATCTATTGCAAATGGTATTTGTTATTATAAGTTCGTACTAAGATCGACAAAAATTGTACGATCATACTTGAGTAGTGTTGTATGTGTAATACTCCCTTAAATCGATATTGAAATTCATAAGCAAGCATCATTCAAATTATGTCTTAACGTACTTCTTCGAAACAAGGACAAACATTGACAATTCCAAATCGTACCCGCCATAACTTAGAAAAACAAATATATTTGCTTTGTCTTTATTTGTTACATGTGTAAAGGGATACATCTGTAGTAGAATAACGGCGCAATGCTTATATTCCGTCCGTATCTGCTCTTTATGTATCCCAAAAGCGCTGTCGCACGCAAACGCAGGGGCTTTACGCATAGAAGACGTCTCGTAGGCCTATCCGACGGCTCACAGACGACCGCCGACCGTTCGTAAACAATGCGTCAGTGGGTTGCTTTATTACAGTTGTCAAGCATTACAACGTTGTTCATTTTATCTCTGGGACATGTCGACGAGCTGTTTAGCTGTTCGTAGTGTTTGTACTTCTGCTAATTGAGCTACAGCGCCTTTCCTGTTTGCCATAGTTTTGTGTGAAGAGGACTGTTCCAATTCATGACTTAGCACTTTTGAATTATACACTTGAACAAATCTTAGTATCTTGCCTAACAACATAAAATTACGTAATTTGGAATCATATGAATACCAATTTTGTTAACGTTCAACAATGATAAAGTAAAAGTAATTTTTCATCGAAATCATACACGTATTTTACACAACGATTATCTTTTCAATTTCAATACCATTCAAAGAACGTTTTCCACAAAGACGCATTCCATGTATAGGTAGCATGAAATTAAATCGTAAAAGAGAAAATTTTTCCTCACCGTGAGATGTCCTTGAATAGCTCTTTAAAGTAGAACAAACATATTGTGGTACACGTTTTTTTGTATTGATGCTTTGATTACGAATAATAGCTCCTGAAATGTCCCCAATCCAATGTCCCCGCCCGGGTGACGCGAGAGGGAGTAACAGACTCTTTCTGACTAAAAACTACCTCGTTCCTACTCCTGCACTTCGAGCTGGAGCCACTTTTTTTTAATGGCATAATCCGGTAAACGAGCAGACGGATCACCTGATGATAAGCAATCGGCGTCGCCCATGGACACCTAGAAAACCAGAGGCGTTACAAGTGCGTTACGGGCTTTTTGGGGATTAGTAGTTTGAGGATCGTTGGGGATTCAGGGATTAAGGAGATTGGGGAAGGGGAGGGTAATTGGGCCTCCGGTAACCTCACTCATACGACGAAACACAACGCAAGCGTTGCTTCACGTCGGTTTTCTGTGAGGCCGTGGTATCACTCCGGTCGAGCTGGCCTATTCGTGCCGAATATCTGAAATATTTATATTCGAAAATCCACGGCTCCGTATCGGCATCAGCTCTATCTGTGGTGGTCTGAAGGCTCCTTGAGGCGCGCGCGGAACGCAGCACGCCGTACGCTCGGGTCTGGATCTGCTTGGGCGGCAAGTCACCCGTGCTCGCTGCCCGCAGGTCCCCGTGCTTACGGTGGCCGAAGATCGTCTCGCGATCCCCGACGCGACCGATCCCGAAGATCGTTTTGCGACGGCCACGGACCGCACAACCCCCGCGTACAACCTCTGGCAGGAGACACGTGGCCCACCGAGATTCAGTAGGAGGTGCTTAAGCGCAGCCCCCGTTCATTTCAACTTAGAAGCCAAACGTCGGAAATACAGTACAAATTACTTAGAATAATATTTTGGCGAGGAACAATAAGATTTTTATACAATTGGCTCATCCATCTCATAACGCTAATATATTAACTTTCAGATATCAATATCTATTTCCAAAACACACTGACTTACTAACGCAAAAGATTTGTTTTGTTAAGAAAGTAATCCGGAAAACTAGTAATAACTTTGTTTCATTTGTTATGTCGGAATGAAGCAGCCAATCGTGCAGAGCAAATAAAGCGAACTTTGTGGAGCGAAAATAGACAAAGGATCAGATACAGGTAAATAACTACGCATGACTTGGGCAGAGAAAGCAGTTCCAACGTTTCGTTTAGGGCTGCCACGTACAAATTACCCCCAACGTGTTCGCAATAATTTACTTATTGCCAAATAAATATGCAAATTGCCAAGCGCTCCTGGATTTTTAAATATATCCATCGGAAAGTGATAAATTACTTTCTTAAACAAATTTTCCGCCCCGCTTTCCCGACGCGATACGTCGACACTTGCGGTTTGCTTGAAAAAATGTGTAATCGATTAAAAATCAAGGCTCGAGTTTCAGAATTTATCGTCGATTTCGGAACATGTTACTGTTGGTTAAACAATAAGTGGATACAGGGAGAGATCGCTAGTATTCACATTTTGCCGTTACATCGCGTCTTTCACACAAGATTAACGCTCAATTCAAAGGTGAACACCATTTCAAAAGCTATAAATTTCTCCCCGTGGCTCGTTTCACCCGCGAGAACGCACAAATTTATCGGAAATTAGTATCTACTAGAAACTCCGCCGGGATGAATAGACACAACGTTTACGAAAGCTCAGCTCAATTTATTGTTACCTACTGACTCGAGGTTGGGAGTAAACGAAAAACAAATTCGGAGCCCGCCTCACTGACTCAGCAAACCGAAATACAACATACATTATTTAAGTATGATATTTTGATACTTTTGCGGTTACCCGCTCCCTGGTACCGGTTCGTTTGGTTTACTCGCTACAGACTTGATAATAATGAAACTTACCTACATTACAGTGGAGCTCATTGAAATGTGGCATATGACTTGCGTGGGAGGTGGCCTCATTGAAATGGAGAAGCGGTTGTGAAGTCTTTCTAGCGAATTGTCTTAGAAAACGGTACCCCAAGGGATTAAAAGTGATCCATAATATTCAGCGTTACTGTAAAATCATCTCTATACTCACCGTCTTAAGGGGTATCCGAAACAAAGTAATGGCGACATTAATTACCTTTGGTAAGTAGTTACCTTTACTAATGCCTTTTACTATTAGTAGGATCACAAATCTTACGCTGATACAATCAGCCAGGAAACCACTTTTCCTTGATTTCATAATGATGAATGTTTGTTGTTCTTGAATGTGTCCTTCTGGATTTTTCTACCTCATTGCGTATTTCTAACT